GGTGGATTGAGATTTTTGAACATTTTACAGCAAAAGAAATTGTTTTCAAAAACATTTGTAAAATCGTAGAATTTTCTTTGTCTCCCTGGATCTAATGCCCCCGTTGAACGAATATTTTCATTGGTGAATAATATGTGGACGAATGAAAAAACTGATTTAAAAGTAAGCACATTAGAAGCATGTATTTCCATCAAATACAACTTTCAAATGAACTGTATGGAATTTTATGACTTTAAAGCGTGAAACGGCGCTATAAAAAAAATAATTCTACTGAAAAGTATCAAAATTAATGTTATTTAAATTTTTACAATGTGTGTATGTGTAATAATTCAGATTGTTTAAAATTTTAATGTATGCATTGTTGTATGCTACTATTTTCGTAATAAATGTTATAAACTTATGAATTTTATAAGGTATTTTTTGATTTTCTTCGATATGTCCTTTATTTTCCCCCAAAAAATATGGTCACTGTAGGTATACCTCAAGTTATGGCATTCTCAATTATATGTTGTTTGTCAAAAAAAATGTATGGAAAAATAAAAATCAAGTGTAAGTCATTTTATTTGACTTTATGTCTGTCCGCCACAAATATCGAAATCGTAATATAACTAGAAAAGTGTTAAAAGCATATAATAGCATATTAAAATACATATATTTACAGTAAATGTTAATATAATCATCATAAATCGTAGAGAACGAAATATGAAAACATCTGTGACTCTGTGTTGTCATCTTATTTAGCGGTCTTTAAGAGCTTAATATTGGCATTTTTCATGCTAGTTCCAATATCTACTGTTTGGCATCGTTGTCAGCATCACTCATTACTGGTAATTTTAACATAAATTAGTTTATTTTTTACTATTGCAAAATAATTTTAATAACTGTATTTGTTATTTAACCTTACAAAATCATCTTATTTTGTAATGTCTTAGAGCAAATCATATTTACAAATAAAGAGTCTGTGATGTACTGTAAAGATCGCCAAATTGTAAACATGCATATTTACAAGTATGTACGTATTGTACATATATTTGTAAATTTAGATGACATTTTTTCCTGTACTATATTAAAAACTAAAATTTATTTGTTTGTGAGCTTAAAATAGATTCTCATTAATCATATATTATTAAAAATGCATATATAAATAAAATACAGAACTGGGATTGGTTATTTCTGGTTTAGCCTAGTGACAAGTAAATTTGACTTACATTGTTTTTCGACTTAAAACCCCCTTAGGACTTTCCAATTTTTGATATTAATGTAATTAAACAGAAAAAATATTTAAAACTGAAAAAAACGAAAGAAATGTGTTAATTTTGAAGAAAAAGCTTCAATGTTTAACTTCCTTTGTCTCTCCTTTCTGTGAAATTTGACACCTATGAGTCATTGTTTACACAGCTGGATGACCTTGAGAACAGCTGGTGTCGGATTTCCCGGGACATTCTCTTAGATGTCTCGGGAGGACAAGGGTTTAAAGTGGGGTGAATACTAGCTGGCCATATATTTTAAAATATTTTTAAAAAATTCAAATTTTTATTGTGATTTTTGAACCCCCCCAACTTAATTAAACTTATATATAATAAAATCTATTAATTAAAAAAATTAAAAAACTATTGGAGATCGTTTTTGATATCAGAAAGTAGCTTTAAATAACTTTACTGAAGTAAAATCCGTGCACTACTACTTTAGAACGATTAATTAAATTTGATAAAAAAAAATTGCATTAAAAAACAATTAAGCGTTAATCGTGCGTCAGTAAAGGTTGATTAAAATTGCAATAAAATTTTTTTGCGCAGATAAAAATTTTCGTAAAAATTTGGAGACCTAAGAAACATCCAAAAATTGAAAAAAAAAAAAAAATTCTTTTAGGGGCCCAAATGCCCGATTTTTATGTAATGCTATGTAACTTGCCCGAGTTAACTCAGGATATGGGCGTGACGGGTTTTAATTAAGTCACCTCTCCTGGCACCAATTACTGACATAAGGTGAAGTATACCTGTATATATGGTGATATGTTTTGGGTGGGGAGAATAGACTATAATAACATAACATTGAAGTCTGTCTATTTAATCACTAAAATAGAATCTTGATATTTGAATATTTTAAGGACTTTCAAATGGTTGGGAAAAGCCATCATTATTCCTCCTCTGCGTTGAACAGTTTGGAATGTAGATACGGAATTTAAACCCAATGGTTCAATTTTATATAAAATATCATGAGAGAATGGTGTCTCCAAAATTTCTGTAAAAATAAAAAGATCAAAAAAGTTGCACAAATCACACAAATACCCTACAAATTTGTGCACCTTTAAAAAGGTGTACAAATTTGTAGGGTATTTCTTTATGGACTTCACATTTTGGACAAACAACTGGATCATTTTAAATGAAATAAAACAAAATTTTAACAGCAACACATTAAAATTGTTATGCTTAAAAAATACTTGAATATCACAAGACACCAAAAACACACCATGAGGAGATATAATCCAATTTTGATCTAATAGTTTTATAATTAAGTATAAGATTAAAAACAAACAAAATTTTTTTCTAGTAACAGAACTTTAACCAAAATTCTGAATGTTTTCGGCCTTCATGAAGGCCTGCCTCAGGTTTTTAACAAAACTGAATTCCAAAGCCGAATGTCAGAACAATGATGTTCGAAAATCAATTTTCTAAAATTTCAAATATCTCATCACATACGGCAAATTTATATGGTTGATTGACTAAAACTGTAAAAGTGCGATCATATGATCCATACAAATTTTTAAGCCATACATATTGTATAAGATGAAATTATTATGGGTTAACTTTGATGCATGCACCACCATATTGCAGTCTTTAAAGTTAATACAATTGCCTGTTAGGCTGGCTTGATATATTTCCAACACCTCCAGGTTACGAATATGATCTGATTGAAAGGCCTGTCTGATTAACTTGGTGTTCTGGAGGTCCCACATACTTCTGGGTGAGTGGCATACATGGACAAAGTGGTGGTATGCCTGTTGTTTGCAAGGTCATATTAATGTTCACATACTCTTTTACGTATTGATCATTTGGTTGAGCCAATGTACACTGTCCCTTTGGAATCTATTGTCTCTTAGAGGTATAAAGTACACTCCTGGGGCTCTGGTTTGATCCATTTTACTTTTTGTGCTGCGTAGCAACTTGTATATTGTACTGGATCTCCTGTATGCAATTTCTGTACCACTCTGGCCTGCAATCTCTTTGTATAAGGATTTTAAATGTTGGTTGAACTGTACTGTGGTGCACCTGGAGTATATGATGTATTGTTTGTTTGTGTTAGAAGTAGACAGGGTGTTGGGACTGTTGCGTGCAGCAAATTGGTTGATGTAGGTGCGGGCTAAACTATGTACCAGGTTCTTCTGTAGTTGTGTTCTACCACTATATCTTCAATACGTTGTAGCTCCAGCAGAGTGTTGTGCCTATTGGTATGATGAGTGTATGTCCATCTGGTTAGGGTACGGGAAGTGGTGATTTTATATGAGAAGAGGTCAGACGAGTTTGCTGGGATGAATAGTGGTATGTATCCTGGTTTGTAATAAATGCTCATTTCCACCAGGTCCCTGTTGAGGTGCATGCTGACATCTAAGAAATGAGCACTACAGTTACTTATTCGATCCAGTTTAAGGATAAGACCGTATGGGTGGTTGTTCATAGATCTTAAAAATTCATTGACCTTTGGCTTTGTTTTCTATAGGATAAATATGTTGTCCATGTATTTTTTGTAAACCACGATGTTCTCTAAGAACATAGGTAAGATCTTGTCTTCTAACTGTCTCACCACTAACTCGCATAGGTCCCCTGATAGGGAGCTGCCCATGGGTACACCCCATTTTTGTAGGTATGTGCTGCTGTTAAATTGAAAGAATGAGGTATAGCACAAGGTATGTGCTAGCTCCAAAATGTGTTTGCAATGCGGATGGACCCCATTCTCGCTTAGTAAAGGTTACAAAGGTAAAAACACTTTTACGGTTTTAGTTAATCAACTGTATAAATTTGCCATACATGATGAGATATTTGAAATTTTAAAAAATTAATTTTCGAACATCATCGTTCTAACATTCAACTTTGTAATTCGGTTTCATTAAAAATCTGAGGCAAGCCTTGGTGAAGGGTGAAAATGTTCAGAATTTTGATTGAAGTTCTGTTACTGGAAAGGTTTTGTTGGTATTTAATTAAGTATTCCAGTAATTTGTGAAGAACATAGTTATAAGTATGAGGTAAAAGTAAAATATGAGTGAAAGATTGACCTGGAAACCATAACAACAATAATCAAATTTAAATGAAAATCAGGAGTAAAAATCAGGCTCTATGTTCACTATCCATGAAAAAAGCTTGAGTTGTGGTTGGCACTTACATTTATGGAGCAGGGCAAGTCTACTATTGGTAAGGGATGCACAGTACATAATTATGCTAAATGGAGATTGTAAAAACAGAATCCTCAATAGTGATGATGATAAATTCATATCAATAGTTATTTCCTGAAAAACCAGAAGAACAATAATCAAATTTAAATTAAAATTTGGAGTAAAAAGCAGGCTCTATCTCCATTATGCATTTTCACTATAAAATATTATATTGTCCCTCAAATAATGTTTGTTGTTTTTTTTTCATGCCTTTGTATTTCTTTTTATAAGGGTTGAAGCCATATCAAGAAACATTCATTCATAATTAATTCATTTTTAATTTTTTTAGTTAATTTATTACTATTGTTAATTACATGCATTTTTGCAATAACTTTGTGATTCTTTTAAAGTAAAAATTAGAAAAATATTGTGATTTGTTACTATATTTAATAAAAGAAAATATCCTTAATACCTATTTTTAGTTTATTCTTATTTTGTAAATCAATATAGAAAACATTGATACTTTTTATTTTTAAAATGTGTCACAATAAAAGGTTAGAAACTTCTGCTTTAGAGAAGTTGTTGCATTTCCTCATGCTAATGTGGTTGTTTTTTACATAATTTCTTATTACAGAAAAGCAATTCAGAACCTTTTCATAATAACGATGCAGCTTTTACATTAGCATATGCTATTATTATGTTGAATGTAGATCAGCACAATCATAATGTTAAAAAACAAAATAATCCTATGACAGTTGAGGTAATTATAAGTTGTTTCATTATTAATACTTGTTTTTTTTATGTAACTTAAAATTTTGGTAATAACATCAGATTTATATTTTTAATATATAGGAATTCAAGAAAAATTTAAAAGGAGTTAATGGAGGACAAGATTTTGATGATGAAATGTTGGAAGAAATATATGTATCCATAAGGTATGTACAGTACTTATGATTATTAGACGATATACTAATTTTTCAAAACAAAAAATAGGATATATGTCATTATTTAAAAGTTAAAAGCCTACAAAATTATTTTTCAATAATAATGTCAAATAATTTTCAAATAGATGAAAACTTTATTTTTAAAACTTACTTTTGAAAAATATGTTTAAATGGCATAAATATAAATAACACCTTATCTTTGCCAAGAAATATAATAGAACCTTTATCTTCCCCATCTTTGGCGTTGACAGCTGAAAAGTTGCAGATTTATAGGAGTAAAATACAGGAAGGCTGTTTAAATGCGAGGGATGCAGAAAGTCTTTCCTCTGCATGGAAGTTTATAGTTAAGAAATTTAATAAGAGCTCTAACCAGTCAAAATAGTAATTTTATTGGATGTGTTAGTAATTGCATTTCTTAATACTTCTATGTACATGTTTTACATTTTTATATTTTTATTTTATGTTACTTTGTTGGTTATTTAATATTTTAATTTTTAATTTTATCTTATTTCTTTCTTTATCATGATGTCTACTGAAAGAGATTTCTACTGAATTTAAATAAATGTATGCTCAACTTGCAATTATTATATAAACAAAGCTTCACACATTTCTAAGAGTGTACAATAGAGATAATAAAATGGCTAATTGATACATGATAAAATAATTCATATATTCAGATTTAACAGAAAAAATATTGGATATTAAATTCAGAACTGTTATTATTTAAATTATACTTCATTATTCCATTTAATATCATAAAGTACTCAGCAAATCACTATACATAAAAATAACACCTTATCTTTGCCATGAAATATAATTTATTTCAAAACAAACGTTTTCATCCTGATTCACAGACCATCCTCAGGTTGAGAACCAAATTTGAATTAAAGAATTCCATTAATGGAATACAAAATTCAAAATTAAATAAGCAACGGAATAAGATAAAAAGTATATTATATTTTTCTAGTTAAAAATAATTTAGTAGTAGTATGTATGAATTGGTCTATTTGGATTTGCATTTTAAAAATCAAGAGAACAACTTTGAAAACAATTTAACATTAACTTTTGACTTTCTTGAAAAGTTTCTTTTGCTTTGTATTCATCCAATTTTGACAAAGGTAATAAATCTGAAATGGTGGCTATAATATTCATAGAACAATAAATTCAGGTATGTGATATGTAACTTCTGTAAATATTTATGTATTTTTAATTGCCATTACATCTTTAGATGATTGGATAAAAAAAGCTAAATTTATTTATTTATATTTGTTTATTATATTAAAGGTGATGTCACTTGGACTATGATATTGCATTTAATTTGTCTGTTTAATATGAATACAATAAATGGGCTAAAAACTGGATAATATTCAAAATACTTACACAGCAAAAAATCCAGCTTGTGAAACACAAAAGAATGAAGAAAAATTAATGTTTTCAATTGCCTTTAGCAATCATCTTCAAGTTAAAAAGTATTCAGAAATGGATATTAGAATAGAATGGGCAATAGAATGTAATAATTTAAAATATAAAACAGTGTCTGATTGGCAGTCGATGGTCACGTGTTTGTATCATGATGTAAATATCAAGATGTAAAAGTAATANAACGTTTGAAATTTGCCAACTAGAATGGTTGGTTAACTGGTGTGACGGTTAATCGGGGGTTGGATAATCGATGCTCTACTGTAGTACTAAAATTATAATGAATTATATGCAAATAAATATAAAAATATTGTAAATTCATTTTGATTTTGAACATTTTGAACAGGAATGAAGAGATAGTGATGCCAGCAGAACAAAGTGGTCTTGTTCGAGAAAACTATTTATGGAAGGTGAAATATATTTTATGTAATAATTCTACTTATATAGATATATTTAAATTCAGTATTAAGGGTTTAATAATTTATGAAAACTTACTTAAAGCCAAATAAATTGACTACAGGTAGGCCTCCTACAATGCGGGAGATACATTCCTTGAAAATACTGCGTTGTGGGAAATCAGTTATAGGAGACACCAACTTAATACAAAAACTGGGATTCGGTTCTAAAAAGAGAAAAACTTGGCGTTTGAATGGCATTTTTTTTGAATTTTTCAAACCAGCCATTGCTAGCCATGAATTTAACACTGGTTTCATCAGCTGACGACTNTATATTTGTTTATTATATTATAGGTGATGTCACTTGGACTATGATATTGCATTTAATTTGTCTGTTTAATATGAATACAATAAATGGGCTAAAAACTGGATAATATTCAAAATACTTACACAGCAAAAAATCCAGCTTGTGAAACACAAAAGAATGAAGAAAAATTAATGTTTTCAATTGCCTTTAGCAATCATCTTCAAGTTAAAAAGTATTCAGAAATGGATATTAGAATAGAATGGGCAATAGAATGTAATAATTTAAAATATAAAACAGTGTCTGATTGGCAGTCGATGGTCACGTGTTTGTATCATGATGTAAATATCAAGATGTAAAAGTAATATTACATATCTAATAATGCCCTCCAAGCTGGAGATAACATGTTATTGTCCTTGTAGTTGATAGCCATGTTGTTCCTATTGGTCTTGTAAATCTCAAGTATTTCCAGATACTTAAGTAGAGGATGCTGTTGTGTATGATGAATGAGATGTGCATTATTGATGTTCACTTGCACGTTTCATTCAAGCATATGTGGCTAAAGCTGTAGTAATTTGCCTTTTATTAATTGAAATAAGATATTCTTGCAGACATTGTTTTAATGGACTTATTGTATCCACAATGTATTGTAGCTAACAGCTCTCTCTATTGTCTTGAATAATATTCAAAATACTTACACAGCAAAAAATCCAGCTTGTGAAACACAAAAGAATGAAGAAAAATTAATGTTTTCAATTGCCTATTCCAATTCCAGGAGTATACTCCTGGAAGATACATGTTATTGTAAGGGTCCTTTGTGTTTCTAGGAAGATGGTGTGGTGTTTTTCTGTAGGCCAAGGAAAGATTGTTGCTTCCTGCTACTTTGAATTTGTGTTCTGTCTTTTCTGTATTCTAGTCTTGCTCCACATGCTTGTTCACTAAACTTTTTACTATTGTAGGCAGATACCTGTGCTGGATAGCCAGCTGGGTTATAAACTGCAATTTGAGTTTTTTCTTTGATAGTGTGTGTGTGAACCTCCTTTTTACTAAGTTTTTACTAAGGCTCCAAAGCTTTATTGGAAGGAATCATATGAGGAGGATAGGATGAAAATTGGATTGTAAGCAGATTTGCAGTACATCGATGTGTATATTCTATCCCTACATCCTGTAATCATATGTTGATATCCAGGAAATGGGCAACAGAAGTATGATGCTGTTCCATGTGTAAGTGGAACAGCACCATACCTCTCAAAAGGATTGTTATTGAAAGAATCTGGATAAACATTGATGTTTGATGTATGATGCCTAAAAATTAGTAGGTTGTCAGTATATCTGAAATATAGGGCAATATCATGCTCATAGGATGGAAGAATATGATTTTCCTGTTGCCTGATGATTAATTCATAAAATGTACTTGAAAATGGATTTCCCATAGGCACACCTCTGCACTGAAGATAAGCTGTCTATTCAAAATGAATGGAGGAGGAGTGGCAAGTTAATTTGGTTAACTCTAATATATTTGCATGGAAATTGCCATCTTTGCCTATGTGATTGAGAAGAAAGTGACACAGTACTCAAAAATATTGTTCTAATTTGACAATACATCATTTCAAAACTGCATACTGTGATGTGTGTAGAGTCCAATCCAAAGGTTGTGTAGAGTTCCTAATGTCCTGGTGGTAGTTATCTAAGTTATTGTGATGTATCAATTAAGGCCTTTTTTTCTATTAGTATTGTTGGAGATGCCAACTTTTCTCCATTATTTTGTGTTTCAGGAGCTGGATTTTTGGTTGTGTAAGTGTTACGAATACAATAACAAATGTTTTTATTTATTATGTAGAATTCATCTTAGAGTTAATATTTTTGTCATTAGTTATTTAGCATTTAGATCTAAAAGAATTTTTAGGCTAATGTCAAATGAGCAGGATTTCATGTTTATTGTTTTTGATGGATGTTACAGGATTACAAAAACACATGGGAGTGGTCAGATGGATGCAGATGTGAAAAATTTCATTGCATGTAACGGTGTGCCACTGGATCATCTGTGGTAATCTCATAAAGTTGTGTGACCATTGAGCACTGGGAGGTATACTTGAAGCCTACGGTCATCAGACGAGTTTGAGAAATGATGGACGTGGTAACATTGTTTCAAGGAAATACTGGGTCGGTGTCTTTCCTGCTGAAGGATGTATGGTACCCATGTATTTTAAAAAATGCACATTGATATAAGATAAATGATCGTACAAATTAGTGAGGGACCAGAACTGAAAGAGACTTCATTTCAACTTTATAAAAACAGAAATAAGAGAAAGGAAGGCCAGTTACAATCAAAAGAGCATACGCAATATTGCTTACATCTTTTTTATTATTAAATACTTTTGTAAATAATAAAAAACAATACAGTAGATCCCCCTATAAGACGGTAGATACGTTCCGTTCTTTATGAATCAATTTTGTAGGAATCATAGTTTACGGACTACGGCTGTTTGAAAGGTTTTCTTTCATAAAATTAATCGATTCTAGACTAATTCGACTCAACATTTCCAAAATACGTATATTTTTTTG